CTTAACCAATGCGCCACTTGGCTGGCCCGAAAGGTCTCCTTCTTAATCCCCAGGAATACAAGGCTCCCTTCCTGGCTTTCGGTACAGGCCCACCAGCATTACCACCACTCTCCACCAGACTTTTTGCAAAGGCTTCTTTCAGGCTCCTCCCCTTACTTTCCTTCCCTTTACAGTCAGGCTTTTTGAAAGGACTTCGTCATCTCCTTGTGGCTCCTCAACCACCTGTAATTTGGCTTCTGCATCCATCATTCTGCTGAATTGGCTCTTCCTAAGGTCGCCAGTGACCTAATTGTCTAGTGACCTTTTCTCAGGCATCTTCTTACTTGACCTCTCTGACGTATATAGGGCTTCCTTATTGCCCTATATTCTGTTTTTTTTTAAGTGTTTTAAGTATTTTTAATGAGAATTATTACACAAAATATGGAAAATAGAAAAATCAATAAAATCCCATCATACTGGTATAATCAATGTTACCATTACTTCCTGCATTGTCCATCTCTCTTTTCTTGACTCTCAGTACTCTCTACTGATTCTCTTCTTGCCTTCTTCTCTGACCATTCTTTCTAAGTGCTCTTAGTTAATTTCTGGTCCCAGCCCTAAGCGCTGGTGTTTCTCGGGATTCTGTTGTTAGCACTCCTCTTTTATCACTGTACACACTCTGTCTTTCTCTCTGGATAAACTTCATCTACTCCAGTGGCTACAGCCACCATATAAACATTAAAGATTCTCAAATCTGTGTGTCCAGGCCTAAATTTCTTCTGTCTCTTGGACTGGTGTTCATCTCGATATCTCACATGTACTTCATAGTCTACATGCCCCCAAATGAACTTATCTTTCTCCCAAAACCTGTTCTCCCTCCATTTCTTATCTCTCTGAATAGTAATACCACCCTACCCCATGCACCAGTTACCAATCCCAACTCCTTTCTTTCTTTCATTCCTCACACCCAGTAAGTCAACAGGTTCTATTGATTCTACCTCCTAATACTTCTCAAATCTCTCCCCTCTTCTCCATTCTCATATCTTAGTTTAGCCACTCATCTTATCTGTACCATTGTAACAGCCACCTAACTGCTCTTCACGCCTCCAGACTTTGCCCCTCCAATCCATTCTCCACACTCAAACATCTGACCATGGCACTCCACACTCAAAAACCCTTCAGTGGCTCCCCTTTGCCCTCAGGATAAAGACCCATTTGAAGGGCTCAATAAATGACATTTGAGGGACTTCACAGTCAGGCTTCTGCCTACTTCCCCTTTTATCATTCCTTCCTACTCTCTCCCCCCACCACACACACTCATACTCTACCTACACTCCAGCCTCACTGTGTTACACACCATTGTGTCCAGCATGTACTAAGGGCTCAATAAGTGTTTATTGAAAGAATAGTTTGAGTTCTTTATGAAATCCACAAATGAGTACTCATGAAATGTCTGCTCCTGTTCTTTGCTGGTATTTTTAGGGAAAAGAAAAATAAAACTAGAAATAATCTTTAATATTTTAAAGACTGTAAATTAATGTTAACAAAATAACATATCAGTGCTCTTTTGGAATTAAAACTTTTGTGGTATCACAAAAAAAACCACTTGGTTTTAGGAACTTTGTCATGATGGCATCTCTTTCAAAACAATTCTGGAATTATTTAAAGTGATACAACCCTAGGCACAGAGTTAGAATTAAACGTTTTTTTTAACTCAGATACTCTGAGCACAGTCTAACACAGAAGGCCAGATCCACAAAATGGATAAATATGGAGCTGTTCTGGCTGATGGAGCCAGGGATTCGCAACCCTACCCACTTACTAGCCCCCTTCTCCCTTGCAGCAGCTTCCTAAGGCACTTCCAAGGAAGCTCTAGGGTAACTCAGAAAATAATTTAAAAACCACTATTTTCCTAAAAGGGCTGAAGTCAGGATACTTGGGTTCTGGGGGAGATTCTGCCCCAGAGTTGGGCCTCGGTCTCCTCGATTGTGAATGAGAGGCTGGGATTAGATGACCACAGAATTTCCTTTTAGTAGAAATACTGTTTGCATTTCTCTTGATCTTTGGCCTTTCTTTCTTACTGGCCTATGTGGCCACTGACTCAGTTCTTCTTTTTTTTTTCAGGACAATCTCAACTTGCTGCTAACTGAGGAGGAAATGTATAGCCTCACAGAGACCTTTCAGCAATGCAAAGTCATCCCTGGTAAGACAGGCCGGTGCTGCTGGATGGAGGGGGACTGAGCAGAGTTCTTCAGACTTTCTAGGATGAACCATGAAAGGAGTATTCTGGAACTTGGGGGTTAGGGAGTAAAGAGGTGTCCCTGTTCCCAAGCTGTTGGCCAGCAGGGGCATCCACCCTTGGCCACAGCCTGAGTTACCCTGGCTATGGGAGAGAAAGACTCAACAAGAGCTGTGGATGTGGGGGCTCTGGAGGGTACCCTAGAGGTGAGTGGAGGTGCCCCAGAGGCCGAGGAAGGGCATGGCTAGCATCTGGTGCCTCCCCACAGATTGCTCCCTGACGCTTGAGGACTTTGTGCGCTACCGCCACCAAGCAGCAAAGCGGGGGGACAGTGACAGAGCTCTAAGCGAGGAGCAAGAGGAACAGGCAGCCCGCCAATTTGCAGCCCTGGACCCTGAACATCGAGGACACATAGAGTGGCCTGACTTCTTGTCCCATGAGTCCCTCCTACTCCTGCAGCAATTGCGTCCCCAGGTGAGAGCCACCTGGGGTGTATGTCCATGGTATACTAAGTGACAAAGAGACCTAGGAAGCATGCTGAGCAGGTTGGGGATGCACTGGGTACTGTCTGAGCAGGGACCAGTACCAGGAAAGGGCTCAAGTTCCATCCAGTGACAGGTGAACCAGTGCCTAGGCTGGGGAAACGTCCCAAGGAAGATTGATTCGCACCGGACCCCACTGCAAATGTCGGTGCTACCAGAAAGGCTCTGGGCAGCTTCAAGGGAGGTTGCAGAGGTGGTAATGGAGGTAGGATTCTCTGTCTCTGTGGCTTGACAGTTTGCAAAATATGTTCACCTCCGAGATCTTAACTAGTCTGTTCTTCCCCAGAACTCACTGTTAAGACTTCTCACAGTCAAGGAACGGGAGCGAGCCCGAACCACCTTCCTGGCACAGGGCAGTGGGAGCACCATCAGTGAGGCCGAGTGTCGCCGTGCCCAGCACTCTTGGTTCTGCAAACGCCTCCCAGAGGCTCCTTCCTGCAGTGTCAGGTCTGCTCCTTACCAATCCCTGCCCCAACTCGTGTGCCTTTCTCCTTTTGTCCATACCAAATAGGCCTAGATATGAAAGGTATCTTCCTGGTTTTCCTGCCAGCAGCCTATACGTTAGATGGAGAACGGTGACTTCTTTTGACCAAGGCATAGTGTAGCCTCTACTCCAAACTCTGTCTCCTCCTGTTGGAAAGCCTAGACATGCACATCCAGGGCCATGGGTTCACCTGAGTTTGGGAGGGGCCAGGACTTTCACTGTCCCACTCACTCCTAACCACGTGTCCTGGTGCCCAACAGTGTCAGTCATGTGGGTCCCATCGCAGACAGCAGCCCAGCCAGCAGCAGCAAGAGTCAGGAAAAGGCCCTGCTGCCTACAGAGCATGAGTCCAGGTGAGTGGCACCTCCTCACCTGGCTGTCTGCACCCCTGACGCCCCCACCAACTCACATAAGAGAGGGCATTACCCACCCCAAAATAACAAGTGCCCACCCCAGAAACCAGGTTCCAAGAGTACACATTTGACCCCAGATCCATAGGGCCAGCAAGCTGGTCTGTCAGTTTGGAAGCACAGCCAGCCATAACCATGTCAGACACAAGCCAGGGCTTCCCTGAGTTTTGTCCGGCTCAAGCCATGCTATCACTGGGATCGGGTCTCATGAGCCTTCAGGATCTGCAACCAGCCTCACAAACCTGTTCTTTGATTCCACTCCAGATTTGTGGACTGGCCAACCTTCCTGCGGGAGAGTGTCATCTACATCTTGGCTGCTCGTCCCAACAGCGCAGCCATTCACCTGAAACCCCCAGGATAGCGTGGAGCAGAAAAGCTCAGTTCGGGGACAGTGGTGTTCTCTCCCTTTCCTTTCTCCCTTTCCCCCACCAACCTCTGGTACTGAGACTTATGAGGATGGAGCACTACCAACATCTCAATTTGTCACTAAGCTTTATGGCTCTGAAATCACCGTTCCCCTCACAACAGAGGCAATAAATGCATTGCCACACGGAGAAGCCCTGGGAGCTATGGCAGCACCCACACCTGGACACACACACACACACACACACACACACACACACACACACACACACACACCTTTACATGATAGACGGGACCCACCACTGCACACATATACCCGTGCACACGCACACGCTAACACACATCTCACTGTCCATGGCTTCAGAGACCTGGTTCTTTGGGTTGAAAAAGGACCAAAGTTCCATTGTGAAGCCCCTGGTATAGATGAGGGGATCTCTACTCACCCCTTCTATTGGCCAGCTCTGATCCCAATAGATAAGACTCTGGCCAAGTGATTTTTAATAAGGGGGCATATCAGACTCACATGCTTTCCTGGAGATGCTGACAGGCTCCCTCTCCCTCCACTGAAAATCCCTTCTGTGGTGAGCCACTGTTCTGGTAGGTATGTGCTATGTCCCTCAGGTGTGGTGGGGTGGGGAAATGGTTGAAAACCACCACTGCACTTCAGCCCATTATTTAAATTCCAATTCCTGGTAACAAAGAAGGCAACTAGTCTGTGGAGTCCTGATTAGAAAAGATGGGGGAGACCCTTCCAGGGACCCAGAATTCTAGGAACCTCTCAGCCAGGTCATTCAAGTCCAAAAATCTTTAGCAGAACAGTAAAAAACCAAGGTGAGCCATCCTGGCCCCTGTTTTTCAGATGCCAGCTCATGGCCCAGCGCCCAAGGGGTCTGAATGGAACAAGTATGGTGGCAGGAACCACAGCCCTCTGTGTTAGATGCTTCACCCAAGTCAGCTAAAGCCTGAGCTCCAGTGAGGACAAGGTCTGGATGGAAGAGAAGAGAAGGCTCATGCTTTTCCATCTTTCCAGTTCAACTCAACTGTAGACCTAGAAAAGTGTGCCATTGTAAGGAGAACAGAACCAGCCTCTTCCACAGCCCAAGAAAGAGCAGCTCCACAGAAGCCCTGAGCAGGGACTCCATTCAACCACCCTGACAATGAGGACCAGAGGTTGGAGCTGAGAAGGGGATTTGCATCTCGGCTCTCTCAAGCAGATAAAGAGTCCCAGCAAAGCCTTACAGAAGGAGGCAGTTTTCCCTTCTCCCCATCATTAAGATATGGCCTGAGTTGCTGCTTCTCCCCGCTGTTCACGACATGTTCTTCCCCACCAGGCTAGGGCCTGGGCCTGGCTTTGGAGGACTTTGGGGGCAAACAGAGGCTTCCACAAGGCCACCAAGCCTGGCCTCCAGTCCCCAGCTGTTCTTCCTAAATTCTCATCAAGTTCTCAAGTCAGTGCATGTCGTGGGTCAGCCCTGGCCCTTGGGTTCAGGTTTCTGTTTCCAACCTAATTACAGGTTTAGCCAGATCTGACTACCAAGAGTTATTTGAGAGGGGGTTGGCTCAATCATGCAGAAGCTAACATACCCCATTGCTCAAGTAACTTGCACTAAATTGAGTGTTTACAGAAGCAGCGTACAGTTCAGTGTTGAGGTGCTCAGAGGAAAGAGGGAAGCTGTAACCAGGGATATGGTACATGGTCTCCTCCTGTAGAAACTGCCTGACCTAGAAGCACGGTGAGAAGCTTCTGGGGATGGATTATTTTGGACTGAAATGAAGCAGACGGAAGACGAATCTAGGTTCATGTGTATGACTTTGAACATTTCAAAACTCACAGCTTTTTGTAAATACTCCTTAGACATACTCCCAAGACTGATCAGTGGTATGGGTCGTTATTCAGTTCAGCTAAAAAGAAAGAAAGAGAAAGCACATAACTTTTTGGCCCAAGGACTGGCCTCTGAAGCAGCCAGGCCTGGGGTTTTGACTGAGAAGATTAAAGCACATTAACTACAAGGCATCTTGCTTACTCTCCTGGAAAATCACCTTCTATGCCAATGGCCTTGGGCTGCTTGATCTCACGGACAGGGCATTTTAAGTAAAGACAAGCTCTGGGCTTTGAAAGCTGAACAGTCTTTTTTCTCTGGCCTCATCACCAGTCACAGGGACTGGAAGTCTACCTTCTTGTTCCCTGACCTTCACAGATAAAGGTGATGTCTACGTCTCTGGAGTTGCAGCTTCTAGATTTCTGTGGGTGAGTGATGAAAGACCATGGGCCAGATCAGGCCAGTTGAATCCTAGAACCCGGCAAAGCAGGCCCCAGAGTTCTTCCACACAGGTCAGAGCCATTTGGGATTAGCTCTCCCTAACCCAGGACAGCAGCTTCTTTGATAGTGGTATGCTGCAGAGGGCCCCGGGGACACAGCAAAGGATAGAGTCTCCAGTCCACAAGAGCCCTACGAGGCAGAAAAGCATGAAAAAGCAACCAGCTGCTTCTTCGTAGGCATCTAGTGTCTTATCAAAGGAGAAGTTCCATTGCTCCCCCAGTCCAGAGTTGTGGAAGCCCCACCCCAAACCCCTGACTGGGACCTCCCTTTGCAGTGTCCTAATTCATAGAGCCCTTCTGCAGTATGTATGGAGATACTCAAACTTATAAACCTAGTGAACCCCATTCCCTTTCCTTTTCAAGCCCTTCTATCACTGTGACTGAAATTCTGTCAAGCACAAAAATTAGTTTCTGCCTCTACTAAGGTATGAGAAAATGTTTCAGTCTTTTCCTTCTTGACTGCCCAAAGCTGAGGTCAGTGCTCTTCCCAAGCACCACCCACCCCACCTCCCAACCAAGGGAGACTGGGGTTATATGTAGGCTCCTCTGAAGACCATCTGCCCTAAGCCTGGTTTTCACCCAGCAGTCCTCTTCTCCATGCTCAGATTTAAAGACAGGTGTCTGGGTGACACAGTGGAGTTGCAGTGACAGGGTCAGCTGAGGCAGTTAGCTATGGCCATGTAACCTCTCCAGGTCTGCTCCGTGGCTTCCTCTCCTGAGATCAGCCTTCCCCAACAGATGCAGGCACTGCACTTTTGACCAGTAGACCTGTTGGATCCCAGGGATGGAGCATGGAGCAGTTCCCTCCCTCCTAGGTACTGACCCACTCTCAAGTGCTCTTCTTTCTTTGAGGACAGCCACAGCCAAAGCCATGAGCACATTGCCTCTTCCTGCCCTCAGCCCAAGTGACTGGGGCTGCAGGGCTGACACTGGCCTTTCTGGCCCTGGTGCTCCCTGTGGGATGTCACCCTGGCCTTGTTTGAGTGGCCAAATCTGGGGGTTCCCCCATTCCTATCACCGATATGGGGAGCACAATCAAACTGCCTGGTAAGAGGGTACTTCACTGAGGGGGACGAGCCCAGGATTGTGCCAAGGCCTCTTAGCCCAAAGCACAACCTCAACTACTGCAAGTCTCATGGCTTCAGTAAGAGTGATGCCAGGAGGCCCTAAAGCCAAGAGGCAAGCTCAGCAGAAGCTGTCTGGCAGGGCCCCAGGCTAGCCATGACCACCCCAGAGCCAAGAGTAACCTCTAGGTAGGACTGGTAGCAGGCTCTAATGACCCTGCAAGCATGCCCCCTTCCAACCAGCAGAGTAAAAGGCAAGTATATACTTGGCGCTAAAAGGCAGAATAACCTTGATGCCAGAATTTCAGGACATCCTGGCAGCACCTGTAACCATAACCCCCTTTTACCTCTCTATTACAGTGGAATAGAATTGCTACTTTATCCATGCCATTTAGTTTAAATTTGCCCAGGATCTCTCTCTGGGCCTCTGCCTGCAGCCCAGACAACAGAGATCTCCCTGAGTGGGGGATATTAATGCATCATGCCTGTTCCCGACAGCTCAGCCCTGGAGTAGGGTAGGACTGGACACTTTGCCTGCTGTTGCTTTCCTGCTGCCACTGCTTTTGGCAAACTAGAAAGGAAAAATTAAACAGGTTAAAGAATTTCCACTAGACCTAACTAGCACTAAGGAAAACCTTCCCTCTGGGCCACATGCCCTGATGACCCAGATCATGGAGAGGGTGTCAGGTCTGGTCTGGGCCAGAGACTAAGAAGCCCATTCCCAGTGTGTACAAATGGGTTGGTGTGACCACAGATGTGAACATCAAGGTATAAATAGCAAGGCCTTTCCATATCTATGGTGAAACACAGGCCATCAAGTTTAGCCTCCTTAAAGAGATGGCCTAGGATCTGTCTCCCAGCCAAACTCAAGCTTGTGAGGGAGGCTGTCAGTGCACTGAAGTAACAATGGAGGATCCAGAGCCCTGTGGTCCATCATGCCCTTGTGTGCTTTTCTGAGGAAGGTAATTGACAGCTGAGGGGAACATCCCCAAGCCCTGTCTTCCCATCATTACAGCTGCATGCTCCTCCCAACCGCTCAGCCTTCACTCCAGGAGCTGATGCTCCCATAGGCTGGGCACAGTGGAAATCATAATAAAGAGATTGTGATGCTACTTTGGCTTCCTGTTTCCTGTTTGGGGCACCTGCGAGTTTCTGTGTGGTTTCCTATCACTGGCCAATTCATGAGTCTTTAAGACAGGAGCAGCTGTAGCCTCCAAGAAGAACACAGTACACTGTGGCTCTCTTTCTAGAGCTTTCCTATTACTGACCTTCCCAAGAGTCAAGTGATGGATGGGGAAGGGAGGAGGCAGGGGCTCCACCACGAACACAGAGGGGATATAGAGGCACTGAGGAGAGGAGCCAGAGTTTTTGGAGAAATTGAGGAAGAGGTAAGGCCTCTGAGTTTGCCTGCTTTGTAATGCCCCATCCTCCAAGACACCAAGGGTCTGTTTAGACAGTTTTCCCTCCCTAGTTCCTGCTGAGCTACAAAGTAGGTGAAAACTGGTTAGCTGTGTTTTCTCCTGATCTTCTGGGCCCTCCTTGGTCTGAGAGTTTCCTCCCCATTTTTGCAAATTGTTTTGATGTGATATAGTAGGGTTGGGTAAGCTACAGTCTGGAGAAGCTTTCGGAGGACTATGGAATCCCCCTTCTTCCCTTTCACCTGGTAAGAACAGAGCCAGTGCCTGTAGCAGGAAAGCATCTCTAGACTGGCTCAGAGGCAGATACTGTTACTGTTACCTACAACCCACAGGGGTCCCGAATACAAATAACTGCTAACGTTTTTGAGCACTTACTATGCACTGAGCAGTTCTAAGTGCTTTGCATAAAGTAATCTTCAAAACAACTCTGATATTTGTATTACAGATGAGAAAAGTTAGGAACAGAGAGGCGGAAAGTTTCTCAAGATTACACAAGTCACACAGCTAGGAAGCAGGGGAACCAGGTAGTCTGGCTGCAGTGTCCATGATCTTAACCACTTTATTGTGCTACCTGTCAAAGCACACCTCAAGGAAACAGCTGCTGTATGGTCTAGCACCTCTCCACCCCCTGGGAATAGACATACACAGGTAGCCCCACCTGTAGCCATGTCATAGAATTTTTACAGCCTGCACAACTCACCCCATTCACAAGATTCCCATACCTCTCCTCCCTGGAGTTTTCTCATGGAGGTCCATCAGGCTCGGAGATAGCTTAATAACATCCTACAGGTCCCTTCTCCTTGTCTCCAGGCTTAGTGAAGCCAAGCATTAGGACAGAAATTGAAACATACAAGCTAGGCCTCTGTGGGCCTTAATGACAAGCAAGATTTCCCCACGCTCAGCCTGGTAGTCCTGATTGGAACTTTAGACCCTCCTCATACTGTTCCTCTTACCAAGTGTCACTTGTTCCCTGGGCCAGCTGGAGCCTCGGTTCCACACAAACTTCCACCCACCCTGTCCTGTTTTGGCTCAAGTGCACTCTGCTTTATCTCTAGGGAAAGTCATTCCCCAAAGGGAAACAGTGGCTGCTAAATTTGCCAAACACGGAGTAATTATTGTTCTCTGTCCACCCAAAGAGTTGCTTGGAGTTTGACCTTGCTGAATCTCAGTTTCTTCATCTGTAAAAATCTAGAAAATAGTCCCTTTCCTGTCTGCCTCCTGGGCTGATAGTTGAGTGAGGACAGAACGTGTTAGGTAGGAGAAAAGAACTTTATACACTGTAAGGCACTGAGTGAGCAGCATGGTTTTCTGGCCTGATCTGAAGGCTATGCATATATCATCTTCCACCCACCCACAGTCCCAGGCATAGCTGGGGGTGCCGCCAGTGGCCTCTGTCCACAGTGCTGAAGTCACAGCCAAGTCAGCTAGGAATCTTCAGTCCCTCTCTGTTTTGTTTTGTAATATACTAAGTTATTCATATATACATTCACTTTACAATCTTACATTTTAACATTCGTCAAAAACAAAAATATGGAACACTCCATGAATTTGCATGTCATCCTTGCACAGGGACCATGCTAATCTCTGTATTACATGTGCTGCCAATATGAACACTTCAGTCCCTCCTTACCCCGCCTTTAAGCATCAAGTACAGAGATTTCCAAACCTAGAGACTGCCCTAAAACTCAGAAGGTATTGTCAAAATGTTTTTATTTCATTCATTTCAAGTATCTTTGTTTGTTTTTTTAAAATAAATATAACACCCTTTTCAAAATCACAACAGGTACAAATGGGCAAGATGTGATTTAGCAACTCAGGGAGAAAAGAGGTTGTGGTCTTCACCTGATATGGGTAAATATTATGTGATGGCTGCCAAAAATCTGACGTAACATGAGGCTACATGGAAAGGAGTTCAGAGTCAGAGGAGGGAGCAGGCTGGCTCGTTTGTACACTGCACTGGCATGCCAGGAAAAAGCTAATCCAGGTAATCCAAAAGCTAAACTAGGCACCACAAACTGAAACCCAGACAAGGGAACAAAGTCTTAGTGCCTGGAATGGAACGAGGCAGAGGAGGAATCCATGAAGGCCTGCAGGGTGTTGACCCTGGAGAGGACCAGGCTTGAGGGATGCAGAGGCTGATGCCTTGCAATGAGGTTGATGTGACCTCAAGCACAGAGCTAAGACCAAAGGTGGAAGAGAGGCAGATTTCTGCTCCATAGGACCAAAAGATAACCAGATACCAGGGAAAGTAATGAAGCTGTATAAGCATATGACAGAAGTGTCAACTCAGGAATGGGATGCTTTACCAGGTATCCATTCCTCTTGAGACCTGTGGTGCCAGTAAGTGGTTAAGCACCTTCTGGTGAGTGCCCAGCCCTGAGCCCAGCTGAGCTGTAGGGAGATCCATGGTTGTACAGACACACATGATCCCAAAGCATCAGCATCACTGGGTTAGGAACCTTAATTTCTTTAGTTCAACCTTTTAGACCAACTGTTTTGCCTGCAGCTCTGGGTCCTGACCTGAGAAAATGATCCAGGGTCTCAAAACGCCTGATATCCCCTTCCCAGGTTGGCTCTGGGAAGCTTGCCTGTAGAACCTGATGTTGCACGCCCTCTGCTGGTCATTCCTAGCACTGTTCTCTCACCCCAAGGCAAAAAAATGACCTCTGAATCCTTATGGTTACTGATCAGCATAGGTTCAAAACATGCAGGGGAGGTGCCAGGAGAGTACCAGGGAGTTAGGTGGCTGGTCAGCGTTCAATCAGAGTACAGGATCAGAATTGAATCTGTGGTTGAGTTCAAATATCTGTATCAAGATCATCAATATCTAGGAGGAGGTCAATATCTAAGACTAAGGTCAGTGTCTCAAGCTGAGGCCAAAGTTGGGACTTGGTATGGGACCGAAGGCAGGGCTCAAGTGTCAGCATGACATATGTATCCACGTGAGATGCTGAGTGTGACTTCAGGGAGAAGTCAGTTTGCATCCAGGGTAATGGGGTCAATACAGCATCCTTTATTATACCAGGTGGAAGCATCAGGTAATAAGCACCAGCCACTGGAGAACTCAGAGATATTGTCAGGCGAGAAGTGTAAGGGATGGAGGATAGAATGAGGTGGTCACTAATTTCTAAGGACCTCCCAACCTTAAAGATGGTAATGGGCAGGCTAGAGCTCCTTTTCTCTTCAGAAGGTAGATCCCAGTAGTCTATTACCAGCTTCCTGTTAAAGCCCCCCAACAATACTAGTACTTCCACATACAAATCAAGTACAATTTGGAGACAGGAGAGTCCAAGGGCCAGTCCTGTCACTGCAGAGAGCTGGCAGCTATGGGAGTAGTCTTTCTTTCCCCCAGGATTCTCTGTTTCTACTGGCAACAGCCGCCTGGTAGCCTCCCACACCCAGATCTTAGCAACTGTGGGAGCCCCTGGCAACTGTTGCCGTGGTGACAAGACAGGAACCTGAGAACCAGCTGGAAAGGGAGCACTTCCTCTGGAGCCTTCAGGATATGTGCAAGATAGGGGGCTCCCCCTCCCATACACAGTCTCGGAGGGAACATGTGTTCCTGTCTAAACACCTCCTCACTGGCATCCACCCCCATCCCTGTCCCCAGGTTCCGGTTCCTTCAGGGTGAGGAAATGAGGGACACCTAGGATTATGACGTCTCCATGGGGAGGAAGGGTGAGTAGGGTGTTTGGAACTGACATGATCACAGATGCAGTCATACACCGCAGACACGATGTCAGTATGTCAAAAGCCATGAAGCCACACTCCATCCACTCTGTCATGTGGATACAGGCCAATGCAGTCATTTAATAACACATGTACACTAACACAAAATCACACACCTACTGCAAATAACACAGAATCAGACACACTACCACACACAAATAATTACACAAATCGTATTATAGATACAACAGCACAAATAACTCCCAGAGTCAAACATTTACAGATGCACTCACACACCCAGATATCTATGAACACACAGAGTAACAGTTAACTTTGTTGAGCATTAACTACTGCCAAGCTCAGAACTAGATACATTACATGTGTTACCTTAACTAACCCTCATAACAATCCTCTGAGGTACTGCTGTTGTCTATCCCCATTTTACAAAGAAGGAAATGAGGCACAGATATGGCAAGTAACCTCACAAGGTCGACAATCTGCCTCACGAGCCTGCATTCTTATACCCTATGCCTTACTGTGCACCCTGGTTCCTCACACACACACAACTGACACCAAGGGCAATGGGACAGAGGACAGCAATAGCAATCCCGGCAGACAATGGAGTCCGTGCCATCAATACCTGAAGGCACAGCCCTGCACCCTCAAAGGTCTAAGCCTACACTTTGGCACTAGCAGGGACCAGGTAAGGGCCGGTGACTAAACTCTCTGCCTCCGTGTTGGCACAGGCAAGGCTGGAGGAGGCAGAATAGACAGAACTGGAATGGTAAGAAGCAGAGCCACCCACAGCCCAGGCCCCCATGAGTCTGGAGGTGGGAGGGATGAACGCCCCCAAATCTAAAAAGCCAGCACCAGTCCTGGGACCCCCTCAACCTACTTTGCCCATCTCCATGTCACATTATTCCATTCCCTCATCACCCCAACTCCCCTCCCTTCCTCATTTTCCTCACCTCATCTCTCTGTCTCAATCTTTTGCTGATCACCCATCTCCCCTCCCTTCTATTCCT